CGTGGAACAGTGTTGCTTCCGCCTCTGCCGCAAATTTAGGGCAGGATTCAAGCGCCGTCGCAGCCATTACTAGCGCAGGATCAACCAACGGCGCTGTCACGAACACTTTGCCATCTAGCAGCAGTGCCATGCCCGCTTCAGTTATTTTCTCGAACAGTGCAGCTTCCGCCTCCGCTCCAAGTTTAGTCCAGGATTCAAGCTCCATGGCACCCATTAGTGCTACAGTTGTGTCATCCACCAGTGGTGGTTTCGGATCAACCGCAAGTTTAAGCCAGGATTCAAGTTCAGCGTCGGGAATTACCAATCCGGCATCAACCAACGTCGCTATCACGAACACTTTGCCATCTAGCAGCAGTGCCGTGCCCACGTCAGTTATTTCGTCGAACAGTGCTGCTTCCGCCTCTGCCGCCAGTTTGAGTCAGAATTCGAGCTCCATAACACCCATTACTAACGCCGGATCATCCAACGTCGCTCTCTCAAACACTTTGCAATCTAATATCACTGTCACGCCCGCCACAGCTATGCCATCCAACACTGGTGGTTCTGGATCCACCGCAACTTTCGCTCAAGTTTCAAGTTCAGTGGCTGTAATTACCAACCCAGCATCAACGATCGTCGCTATATCGAACACTTCGCCATCTAACGCGACTGTCATACCTACTACAGTTATATCATCGAGTAGTCCTGGTTCCGCATCTACCGCAAGTTTAAGTCAGAATTCGAGCCGGGTGGCAGGGTTCTTGGCTCCGAATACCAGTGCTGCGGCAACCAGTGCTGTTGTCTCCAACAGTTTGGGAGCGAATACTACTGTTATGCTTGGTACTACGGTCTCGTCCAGCAGTCGTGCTAGTTTGGCGCCGAATGGGAGCGTTTATCAAAATACAAGTTCTGCACCGGTTCTTGGCAGCACACGTATATTAGCGTCTTTAGCCTCTACCCGTAGTATTTCGGGTGGTAGCTCGGGCGGTAGTGCCGGTGGTAGTTCGGGCAGTAGTACCAGTGCATCTAAGACTGGTAAGGTTAGAAATGAAATGATAGTTTGCGTGAGTTGATTTTTGTATGCGTTTAGGTTGTTTTTCTGGGGATAGTTTGGTACGAATGACTGATGGAGGACTCAAGAGTATGGATCAGTTGAGATCTGGTGATAAAGTCTATGGAACGAGTTCTGAAGCTGAAATTGTCATAATTCTGGATAAACAACCATTTGAAACAGGTAGTGCTGATATGGTTGTATTATATATCTGTTGGATTATTTGTTTTATTTTTAGTACTTTTTTATACAATAAAAACTCGTTCAAACCGGAGTATAAGCTTAACTGGTAATCATTTGATAGTTGTTAGAAGACAAGATAAAGTTTTGTTTGTACCAGCAAAGAATGTGAACTCAAGCGATTTCATTTATGTGCTAGAAGGTGGACATATACGACCAGTGATGGTAGAAAATGTGGTAATTGAATGGAAGGATGGGTATTACGCTCCAATGACAGATGAAGGTATGGCGGATCGGAAGAGGGTTGCGATGAGAAAACTCTTTTAAAAAAGACAGTTTTGCATTTGTTCAGACTGTCGCACTGCAGAAAAACAAGAATTTTCCGTACCGATTGTTTCGCCGTATTTATGAAAATAGGCTTAGAATGTTAGTTGATCATCTTGCGCAGCTTGATTTCACTACTAGGAAGAATTCCAGGAAATAATCATAAAAGAAAACCTAGAAATGTTGAGAACCAAAGTGACCCTGAAAGATTCTGTTATACCCGACATTGTAACTGGCAAAAAGTCTGAAACTTTTTATAAGATACCGAGTTACCGGCTTTTTAACATTACGAATATAAATCCATTCGCAAGGTTCTACATTAGGGAATCTGGTCAGCAGACGTTCTACAAGTTAGGCCAAATCCGCCGGAAAAATGATGAAAATGCAGTTTTTCTCTGTGAGGGTAAATGGCTATAGCGTGTTTTCTAACAAGGCTACAGACTTGTGGTTTCCACCATTCGGTTCAGCTTGCTGAGCTCTATAATTTGAGGTAGGTCTCGTCACTGATATCTCTGCTCAGACAAAATATTTTTTGGCGAATTTTCACCATAATGACAAACATATATGAGGATGTTTTATTAGATGGCATATTTTAAGTGTTTTTTCTTTTCTGTAAAGAACAAAACAAAGATGCGAAGCGTTAAATTTCAAGGATTTTTGCAAAACTTAAAATGTTCATATCTTTTGATAGAAAGATTGTTGAGCAGTAGGAGATCTCATTTTGTCGTTTAGCTTTTACTCTACCATACGATGTATAAACTTAAAATTAAATTTTGTGCGTAAAAGGGGTGTGAGATCAGCATGTGCGTTTTAAGAACAAGATATTTAAAGTATTATGAACTTTTAAACTCACATATCCAAATCATTATCATACGAATTGATCTGGATATCTTTAATGCATAAACCGATTTGTAACAGTGGGTCAAAGTCTAATAATAGCTCTAGTTATTATCTTTTATAGGTGTGATTGTTGTCAATGATATATTAGCATCATGTTATGCCAATGTATTGAGTCATAATTTGGCTCATCTGATAATGGCACCATTAAGATTCTATTACACATTATCAAAATATCTTTGCATCAATGAACCGTTTCACTCGGATAGCAATGGTTTACATTGGCTGCCACAAATAATGTTACATCTTACAAGAAAATATGTGCCAACGGCCTTTACTTATTTAATCGAATAATTCCTTTATGTCAGCTAATTCGAAAATTATACATTTTCTCTATGTATGGTAACTCACAATATGTTTTTGATTACGGTCACACACACACGCCTTCACCAGCCTTTCAGTCTTTAGGTTCAGACATATTTGAGAAAAGAAAAGAACGAACGTTAAACTACAGATATAGTCGTTTGTTCAACGATATGCTTATGTAGCTGAGAATGATTGAAATCATCAATCGAAAGATTCTTCAATTTGAATAAAATAAAATGGTAGTTGTTTGATATCGCACAAATAGTTTTGGCAAATAATTATTCTTTAGAAAAAATTCTTTTGTATTCTGCACCATGTTTTCGTCATACAACATGGATCACTGGATCCGCTAGTATGGCTCCAAAATGTATTATAAAATAGCAATCATGATTTTTTATCTTAAGACCCGAGTCTTCTATTCTGTCTGCATGCATAAAGTTCTTAGAGGGATCTTCTACTGTGTCCCTGAAAGAAAGCTGTTTTTGTTAGACTTAGACATTTTGTCATTTTATCACATGTGTCGTTTGTCTCTTCTCCGTGCACTTCAGAGGAAGAGAGAATTTGCTTTAAATAGAAAATATTGTGCGAAGCTAATAATTAGAAAAGTGGAAAATAGGAGGGATCTTTTATTTTGACTTTTACAAGATGATCTCAAGAACAATCTTGGAGCCTTCTTCTGTTTTTAGATTATCTCTTGCTGGTGCAGACATGTTACGAATTACTAGAATAACTCGTTCTTCTACTGCTAGTAAATATTAATACAGAAGAGAATCATTCCGTTTCTTTTCAGTATTATGCAGATATGTTCTGACATAAAATTCGTTGTCACTTGTAGGTTTTTACATAAGAAATGAATGAAATAAGTAAAGGACCCTGTCGGATTCGGTGTCCCCCTTTGAATCAAGAAACCAAATATGCAGTTTTGTAGAACAACTCGCGGCACGTCGAATGGTATATAAGAAATCCCATTTTTATCTAAGCTTATAGGATCTATGGCCAATATACTAGTCGAGCGTCATGACAGCTACTGGGATCGATGCCGAATTTACTGCCATTGGTTTTTTATGATTTGACATCGGTTTATTTCCTCACTCCGCGTTATAGGAGGGTGAAAATTTCCGGAGAGATACAATTTCAGATGGGTTACACTTCTTGATGGTTAAAAGTGCGAAATTATATTTCTGAAACCCGTAGATTTTTGAAGGGATCCCTAGAAAACCTATTATACTTGGGTTTATTATTCTGATATTTTGAAGATACCAGTAGAAGTTCATACTCATGTACCAATTCACAAGTAAGCTTAATTTTAGCATGTTGCCTGTACAATCTAATAAAACGTAAACCTTTTCTCTTCTATCATTGATAGCAAAAAACATATCACAAACATATCCTTTGATAACGCTAATAGTAGCAGGGTGTGCATACTTTGATGTTTTACTTTTCTAAAT